ATATATATATTTATTTTTAATTATAAGATTTTTTTTAATTACTGGAAATTATTAAAATAAATAAAATAAATTAAGTAAATTTTAAGAGCAATTCATTCAAATACATTAAACCAAACACTTTGATAATATAAAAAAAAAATACAATAAATTTGTTTTGACACTGACACACTAAAAAAAGACATTTTCCAAAATGCATTATTATTGTTATTATTATGATTATTATTATACTTTGTTTGACAATTTTAATGTGCATGTGTGACGGGTCAAGTTTTATTTATTTGTTTACTTTTGAACCAGAAGACTTTTTTCTATTTATTTCCCATCACTTCTCCAAATTCTATTTCTCCATGACAGTTTTAATTATTTGTGGAGATGTTACATTATTTATTGAAAGGTTAACATGACTTTAAGGGGTATTTCAAGTAAATAATTCAAGCCACAGGGATTTCAGCTGACAAAAAAAGCTTGGGAACCTGTTTCATATTCCAACACTCCTCCAAAAAACAGTTGTGTTGTAAATGGATGGTGGTAATTTACATAAATAAAGTAATTAGGAAATTGAGTGTGTGGGACATGTGGAGTGTTGGACATGGACGATGAGGCTGGCGGACATTACAGCTGATTGGGGCCCTGACAGCCATCTGCTGAACCCCTCAGCTGAGGCCCCCAGAGACACACTACTGCATTATTCATGAGGTAGAGAGATAAAAGAGCCAAGGGGAGACTACAAAACTACATTAAGCCAAACAGAACCATGTTTTTCCTGTCTCTAACAAAAAGACACAACTTTCCACATTGCACCATGGAAAAATTAGTGTGACAGGCACGCGTGAGAGGATTAGGGTGTATTGGAGCAGGTCGTGCTCATTAATGTCTAATGTGTGCGGATAAAAATAAGGGACATTTTCCACTGTGGCCCACCAGATTCCCAGTGGGGTTGTTTCTTTAGCAACACCACTGAAATCCAAACATTCAAAAACTACACTGCAGGACAAGTTGGCCCTTAATGCCTAAAAATGTTATGAAAAAAGATTTGCATATAGTTAAAAAATGTTGCTAGTCCGGAAGCATCTACTTACAGCAAAGACCATTTTTACATGAACTAAACACTGACTGTTTCTTGCTAGTAAAGTGATAGTTCACCCAAAAATGAACATTCTATTTTTATTTTTAGGTGAACTATCCCTTTAAATGCCCTCCATTTCTCAACGTCTCCGTCACTGTCAGCGGTCGAATGCATATTTAGAGGACTGACTGAGTTGGAAAGGAACTGACTTGCTCTCCAGTGCGCGGTGTTCTCGCTCCAGAGCTCTCTGGTTGCCCTTCAGTTCTGCGTGTCGGGTCATGAGCTGCTCATACTCAGTCGCTTGCCTTTCGTGCACGGCAAGCAGGCGCTCGTGGTCCTGCGTGACCCGGTCGCGGGCCGTACACGCCTCCTCGCACTGTTTCTGAAGAGACTCGGCCTCTGACTCCAGAGTTTGCAGCTGAGCCTGTAAAGCTCCGTACTGAGCCATGAGAGAGGAGCTCTGGGAGCTTAGTGTCGAATTTTCCACCTGAACACAAAATAAAAGTGAAAATTGGACATTTATTGATTCTGTTTTGTATATTTTAAGCTTTCATAATCTCACATCCTACATAAAAAAATAAAATTATGGTAAAAAGTTTTTTTAACTCTTCTTCTATTCTCCAATAAAATATATAAAATAAAATAACATCATTTAACTATATTCTATTCTATTCTATTATAAAATAAAATAAAATAAAATAGTAGTAGTAGTATATTTTTATTTAATGCCATGTCAGCATCTGAGGCTATTTTCATGGCAAAAAATAAATAAAAAAATACAAGTATAACAAATACAATAAAAAGCCAGCACACAAACAAAAACACAAGATTACACAAGATTTTTTACATTAACATATGATAAAAATTCTAAAACTTTTTCTGGCAAAATTATACTAAACTCTTCAAGTGACTTCACTTCATAAAAGAGTTTTCTACATACATTAAAAGCTGGACAGTCCACTAAAATATGTCTGACAGAAAGGGGAATCTTGCAAAACATGCATTGAGTAGGTCTTCACCTTTAAGCACAAATGCATGAGTCAGTCTTGTATGACCTATGCAACATCTGGTAAATACCACTTGATCGAATCTAGTTTTAAAAGAGATTAAAAATCTGTTTGAAATTTCCGGATGTATTTCATGTAATGAAATCTTTGTATTCCTTGTAGTAAAGAATTTCATAGGGGTTTGGAATGACGTGACACTTAGTATATAATAACACAATTTCATTTTTGGGCAAACAATCCCTTTAATCTTGAAAAGCAACTGCCTTTCTTGCTGTATGGGTCAGAGGTGAACAGTTGAACATGCGGTTCTCATTCTGGAATTGTCAATCCTCCTCAAAAGCATCACACCTGCCATTTATTTAGTCCTTAAGGTCACACAATTGCTTTCTCGTGTCACTAAAGACCCTTACACAACCAAAAAACAGAAGAGGCTTCCTCACCTGTTCTCTTGGGGTATTTGCTGGCCCTGCTAAGCAGTGGTCATGTCAATCATTTCTATGTGTCTGACAATGTCAGATATTTTTGGAGATCAAAAAGTACTGATCAGCTGTACAATCGCAAAATCTCAAGAGGCTCAATGGACCATGTGCAGGACAATTTCCAAATTTGTAAATGCCAAATTCAGATAATTACATCATGTCGTTACAGACCATTATTCACAATTAATGTCTTATCTTTGACTATGTACATTACCTATATTGTATCTATTTGTAATTTGTTTGTTAGAGGCAATGTTAATTTTCAAACGACTACTAGAAGTCATACGTATAGGGTCCACAGAAAAGTAAGACATGGTCAAAATACAATGTTTTTGTACCTGCAGTTTAGCAGTATCTTTATGAAGAGAGGTGTTATGCTCTTGTAAGGACGCTGCCTGTTTCTGCAGAGCTAGTGTTTGTGCGTTGAGCTGTGCATTCTGGGAACCTAACTGCTTCAGCTGCTCCTTCAGAAGATTTTTCTCTGTCTGCAGGGCAGCATTCTGGGGAGGTCACAGTTGGATAATGTTAATAGACAAACAAACTAGTGAGTATTCAAAGTCTTCAAGTTTAATTTAAAGCAAAATCCACGAGGCTGAAAGTAAATATGCCATCTTACATTCTTCTCAACATCGATTAGTCGGTCTTTCAGCTTGAGCAGTTCGGCTGTGGTCTCCCTATGTTCAGTCTCCCACTTCTCCTTATTAGGCCTCGATCTATCCTGCCCCAATGACTGCTGGGAGATCTCAGAGTGAGCCGCCTCTTCCTCTTGCCTTTGCTTGAGGGCCTCCAGGTTCTTTTTCACCTGGTGAGGACAGATCGGAACAAAATTGTGTCTGGCATTAGATGTAACAATTCAGTGACCTCCTTTCGCTTTCTCCCCAGCTTTCTTTGTTTTGACATGTACTTGCATGTTTGTAGTTTGAGAAAGCGTGAACATACAGTGGTGAGCTCAGTGCGAAGTTGCTGGTTTAAGCTGCTGCTCTCCTCCAGCCGAGATTCCAGGCTCTGGATCTTCTCCTCTCTCAGCTCCAGAGTCTTCTTAAGTGCAGACTCAATCTTTGTCTCCAGGATCTTATATTTACTGAAGGATGAGAAAGTGGAATGTCAGTATATTACAATGTTCAACCTGCGTGAGCATCAGAATCTGAAAAATCAAATACAAGAAGTCATCAATCATTACATCAGCCTTAGCAATAAACAGTTTTTTTTCATGACCCTTGTTTCAGATATATAACAAACTCTAAACAAAGAAGTTAAATGAAATAAACATACCATTATAAATTATTGTGTGAAAATGGGTAACATGAATTTTTACACATATTATGACTGTCCCTTAGTTGTGGCATAGTCCTCTAATTAAGCTTTTTCTATCAAGGTCCTTTCTAATTAAGCTGTAATCTTGTATAGATATGACAAACATGTAAAAATATTGAATTGTGTATCTTTAGGATACATTAAAACGCTAGCAATAAAACTAGGTTTAGTAAGACAAAGCAGGTCATTTAAAAAAAAAAAATTTAAATGTTATTTCCACCATAGAACAAATGCTGATTTGAGATCTGAGTGAATTTTTTTTTTTTTTTAAATAACGCAAAAGTGAATTTTCACTGTTGGATAATATCAGCAGACAAATAAACTAGTGAGTATTTAAAGTCTTTTAAGGAAGTTTAATTAAAAAATGGCTAAAAATGTCCATAGTATTATTTATATACTATTATAGTATTTATTATTAGTATTTTAATTTGGCTTTTAATTGTGTTTTCATTTTCAGTTTTACTAATTTTGTTATAAGATTTTGTCACTTTTATTACTTTTTGTTTTTTGTTGTCAGTCATTTTAGTACTTTAAGTTTTTTTAAAATCTAATATTTACATTTTATTTTATTTTCAACAAACCAATTATAATAGTTTTAGTTAACAATATCAACACTGCAATAGATAAAGGAACAATTTAATATCATTCATAATAGAAAAATGCATGCACACACAAACACACACAGACACTCTCTTGGATGGATTACTAAGCACAGTGGAATGTGACTGTTAGTAGTAAACGTCTTCGAACATTAAGTGATTAGCGACAGCTAGCATTTTATGACACTGTTAGCTGGTGAGAAATGTTTCAGCACACATTCAGTCACGTTTGTTTCTTTTGATCTAACTTTCAAATACTTGTCACTTGTCACACTCACCGCAATACAGGGTTAGAGGTGGGGCAGAGAGGGAGTGAGTCTACTTCCTTATAGAGAAAGATGAATACTTCACTACTGAACCCTCTACAGGGAACATTCCAGTGAAAACTAATCAAACTGGAGTCAGGCCTGTAATTACTTCATACTGTGGCCTCAACATGAAAGAAATGATTATAAACACACCACTACACACAGCAAACCTCCTTCTCACCACAATAATGTAAAGAGCTTAGAACACGGCAACACACTATAGTAAAGATAGCATGCACTTTGACTCCGATTATAAGGCAATGAACTTTACACTTTCTCACTTTTTGTTTACAGTGTACATTCAAAATGTAATGTGTTACTTTATCCTCACTTACAAAAAATAATCTTAATGTTATTCATGACATGTTAATCCCAACACTTTCCGCAAGAGGAAAACAGATAGAGTGGAGACAAGTGATGATGGTGTAATGTATTTGAGACAGAAACAAATACATCTACATCTTTAGCAACACCTCACCTGCTACACCTTTCAAAGGGCAGCATTCACATAAAACAAACAAGACACTTTATAGGATTTTATAACACTTTGTACTTACAGACTAGCAATGAACTCTAAACCTGATAAAAGATATGACTAATCATTTTCTTAATAATAAATCTCACTCACTTGTCTTCACAGCTGTGTTCTTCCTGTAGGAGTTTCTCTCGGTTCAAGCCGATCTTCTCCAGCTCGTGGCTCAGCTTCTCCAGTTCATTACACTGCTGCTGCACCCTCAGTTTCTCGTTCACCAGCTCCTGCTCAACAAAATTTGACCAAATGTTTAATCAAAATGTCATCATTTGATCTTCCAGTAAATAGACATAATTGGTCTTTGGTGACAAATGACAGACTTCTCCAATCATTTAGTCTACCTAAATCCTGCCCCCTATTTTAAAATCAACTGCAAGCTTGCATTCATCTGCCTCCATCAATCAAAACCACATTGATAATCTGTTTCACTCTGATTTACAACATAATACGGAAGAAATTATTTGTCATTAATGATACATTGTGACTTTAATATATCAGATAATCTGACCTTTTTATGAAAAGGCAAGGTTAGTTCAGATTGTAAAATGTGTGATGCAACTCTTCAAATAACAACATTTATGATATTAATTCTTAGGGCTGTCAAATAGATTAATCGCATCCAAAAAGTTTGTGTTTACATAATATGTGTGTGCTGTGTATATTTATATATGTATATATATATATATATATATACACACACACAGCACACACATGTATAATGTAAAAAACTAACTTTTATTTTGGATGGTGATTAATCGTGATTAATCAATTTGACAGCCCTACTTTTAAATACAAATACATTTTTTATATATATATTTTATAATAATTATTCATTTTTACTTGGTTACACCACTTGACATTTTAAAGTCATTTAATTTAAACTTTTCTTGAAAATAGTATTTTTTTTTCAAAACCATATGAACACAAAGAGAACTTGGTACACTTCAAATAAAATTTTTGAAAGATTTTGGTAACATTTTAGTATAGGGACCAATTCTCACTATTAACTAGTTGCTTATTAGCATGCCTATTATTAACATATTGGCTGTTTATTAGCACTTATACAGCACCTATTCTGCATGACCATATTCTACATCCCTAATCCTACCCAATACCTGAATTTAACAACTATCTTACTAACTATTAACAAGCAGCAAATTAGGAGATTATCGAGGCAGAAGTTGCAGTTAATGGTTTGTTAATAGCGAGAATTGGACCTTAAAATAAAATGTGACCAAGATTCCTTTTTTCCTTATGGACTATCTTATATGTGATTGACCCATTCTAAATGTGTCATACCTCTCTTAGTGTGGCCAGAGTCTTCTTATCAATGGTGGCCTGTTTTTGCAGGTCTTTGTTCTCTCTCTCCAGCTCTTTAAGTCTCCCTGCAGCCTCTTTAAGGCAGCCCAACTCTTTATTGAGAGCCGTGCTTTCTTTCTCCATGCTAGCCAGCCTGAGGCAGTTCTCTTCCAGCGCTGTCTCCTTCACCTCCAACTGCTGCCTCAACCTACGTGTCTCCTTCTCCAGCTGCTTCTTCTCCTTCTCCACCTGGCCCAATTCCTGCTCCATTCCTCTCTTCTCTTTCTCCACTGCTTCCGCCCATGACACCATCTGCCTCAACCCCTCCAACTCTCGCCGCAGATCTTTCATCTCTGCCTCATTCTGCTTCAGCTCGCCCTCTAGACCCTGAATCTTGGTGGCGCTGTTGTCCAGGGTCTGCTGGAGCCGTTGGTTTTCCTGGCTCAGACTGCTGTAGTTTTTCTCTAGTCTTTCGCTTCTCTTGGCCTGGGAGCGGAGCTCCTCCAGCGTGCGGCACATCTCCTCGTGTTCCCGCTCTAGTTCGGCATGTTCCTGCTGTAGTTGAGCAAGGCGAGCGGCAGCCGGCCGCAGGGTCTCCAAGGCACGTCGCTGCTCTAGGTTCTCCTCCTCAAGTTGCTGGTGATCCTTCTCCAGAACAGCCAAGCGCAGGCTGGTATTCTGCGCCGTGTCAGCCAGCTTCTTCAGCCGACGATTGTCTTGTTCCAGAGTAGCATTCTCACGCTCCAGGGCCTCGGCGCGTTCACTGCCAATCTTTAAGGAGGCAGCTTGCCTCTGTAGCTGTTCTCGGACTCGCTCCAGACGTGTTACCTCCCTTTCCAACTCCTCACAGTGCTCTCCTCGTTCACGGAGAGAGTCGAGCTCTTTAGTCACCTGTCGTTTCTCAGCCTCCAGACGAGCCAGTTTACTACCAGTTTCAGAGATGGTCTGGTGGAGAACACGGTTTTCTGTCTCCACCTCCCTCACACGCGCCTCGCTGTTCACCTGAGCACGTTTCCTGAGGGAGTTCATGGCCTGGGTCAGGTGCTCTTTCTCCTGCTCCAACTCTGAGATCTAATAGGCCACAGATACAAATAAACAACATTTATGAATGAATCTTAAGCCGTACGGCTGACTTATCTAATCTGCGGCCTGTTATGCATCAAACTAATATTGCTGTTGAGACAAAATGCAATGCCATCAAGTTAGCATTTTTAAACATTCGCTCACTAAAAAATAAATCATTTCTAATCAATGACTTAATAACCACAAACAACCTTATGTAAAGCACTTTGAATTACCATTGTGTATGAAATGTGCTATACAAATAAACTTGCCTTGCCTTGCCTTGCCTTGCCAATGAATAATTCATATAATGTTCTGATCATCATGGGCTTTCTTTCTTTAAATGTTCACCTGTCTGTCTTTATCTGCCTGGATTGTCTCTAGAGTTTTTTCCAGTCTTTGTTTGTCTTTTAGCAGCTCCTCTCCAAGGTTCTCCATGTCCTGAGTTGTCTGTTTCTCCTGTTCCAACTGGGACTGCAGACGCTCCAACTAAAACACACAACACAGAAGAGATCTCATCAGCATTCACTATTCTGGCTCTCAGTTAACATTTAAAGGAAATGCAGAAATTTGATGTACCTTCTTGCTGTGGCTCTGATTCTCTCTTTCCAGTTCCAGTGCGTGCAGGTGACCTTCTTCCATGGTAATGGAGGTCTCTCTCAACTCCTGGATGGTGCTCTGAAGACATTGGTTCTCCTTCTCCAGCTTCAACAGTCGGCTAGATGCGGTCTCGTTCAGCTCAAACACAAATGACTTACGGGCTGTAGTAGTGGATGACCAAAAAAACAATGTAGCTCTTTATTACATATTGACCAGACTAGATGAGGGGCATCAACCAAAGATTGTGCCCTTTTTACTAAAAGTACACCAGCTCCAAGATCTACCAATAATTTTTTATAATTGATAATAAATAATGGTATATTAAGTTAGATGTTAAATCCCTTGTTGTTACCCCCCTGTAAAGGTATTAAATTAGCCATTAGCAAACCTTTTGTACTCTTCAGATCTCAAAAACAGGTCATTTATATTATCAACTATATATTTAACTATAAATATTTATCAACTATAATCTTTATATTGTTTCTTAAAACTTAAATGTGTCTTGGTAGTGTGTGTACACAACCACCGTATAATGATAAAAATCCACACAGTGCTTTTATTTATTTATTTATTTTTTTAATCTCCACAAATCATAAGCACTTTTTCAGAGCAAGCGGTTCACAGATTCAGGGCAAAGTGACGTCAGTTTGCCCAGGCCCCTCCCATGACTGTTGACGGACACTGCCATTTTAGTATAGACACGCCCTGAGTGAGCTGTAAACAGTCCACCATTGTTTTGATGCTGGAGCAGATGTAGACAAGAATGTCTCCTAAGCGATTGAGGTGTTCTGTTGTTGATGTACTAATGAATATAGCAGTCGCCATTTACTACCGACATCTGAGCAGCTGAAGACACAGTGGATTACTTTTGTTTTTGAAGGGAATGCTTTCCCGATCTTCCTAAATGTGTTTATGTTTGCGCAATTCATTTTACACCAGACTACTTTGTAAATGAGGGTCAGTACAAAGCAGGTTTTGCTAAAAAGTTGTTCCTGCAAGATGGATCGGTACCAACTGTTCATGATCCAGCTTCACCACCAGAAGAAGTGAGTATACGTTTGTATTTATGAATATTTGCAAATCGCCTTTCCTAATAATGTGCTAGTTAGCAAGTTCCATGACAAACACGGCTAAAATTAACAGTCTCACACCGTGTCTACACCGGATGCGAGTGGCGCAGTGCAACAAAATACTGTAGAACTCATTATAATCAGTGATGCTGTCTACACTGGATGCGGCGCGACTGACAAATCCCCGACAGTAAACTGCTGCCTCATTCGATTCATGACATACTGACACAAAGTTCAAATGATTTGTAACGGTTGCTTTGTCGCGTCCACTACACTACATTAAGGTTGCCTTTGTAGAGGGTTTATAAAGGTGATTGTTAGTTACCAATAAGTCATTTACAAATGTATTTTAAAACTTTTGACCAGTTATAACTGCATGAATAAGAATGGTGACTTTAATGCAAGAATGGGAGAGAAGGGCGGGGTGAGCAGTAGCTCATTATCATTTAAAGGGACATGCACCGAAACGGGTCGCTGTGAACAGAGCAGTTTTTGACAAGGTAAAAAGGGTGTTGTTTTACACTACCACAGAAATTTTAACCAAAGTATGTTATGTTATAGACTTTTCATGAAAACCCTAAAGAATCATACCATCTTGTGGAAAATGGGCATTCGATGTCCCCTTTAAATATAGTAGACAACTTTTGAAGTGGATCAAAAAAGTTCATCAAAGTTGTCCTAAGACTAGAACGCATTTTGGTTTTAGGTTTTAGGACAACTTTGATGAAAGGTTTTGATCCACTTCAAATGTTGACTACTGTATTTTGCATATATTGTATTGTATTTGTGTAGTTAGTATTCATACTCATTTGAGATTTGAGCAGTCTGAGTGGCAAACATCCAGCAGGCAGGTGCTGAGTCACCTGTGCATTACCATCTAAACAATACGTATACACACCTAACGGCTTACAAACAGCCGGAGGGTAGAGATATTTCAGGAACCAGTTTTTTCAAGTCAACATTGACTTAGTGCTAATCAACTACAAAAATCTCCCATTTGTGCCTGCTTAATGTTTTTAGAAACTTCACGTTCAAAAGCAAGCAAATGAGCATTTGTTCACTTTGCATGAACAAAACGGCAAGTCGCTGTGAACAGAGCAGTTTTTGACAAGGTAAAAAGGGTGTTGTTTTACACTACCACAGAAATTTTAACCAAAGTATGTTATGTTATAGACTTTTCATGAAAACCCTAAAGAATCATACCATCTTGTGGAAAATGGGCATTCGATGTCCCCTTTAAATATAGTAGACAACTTTTGAAGTGGATCAAAAAAGTTCATCAAAGTTGTCCTAAGACTAGAACGCATTTTGGTTTTAGGTTTTAGGACAACTTTGATGAAAGGTTTTGATCCACTTCAAATGTTGACTACTGTATTTTGCATATATTGTATTGTATTTGTGTAGTTAGTATTCATACTCATTTGAGATTTGAGCAGTCTGAGTGGCAAACATCCAGCAGGCAGGTGCTGAGTCACCTGTGCATTACCATCTAAACAATACGTATACACACCTAACGGCTTACAAACAGCCGGAGGGTAGAGATATTTCAGGAACCAGTTTTTTCAAGTCAACATTGACTTAGTGCTAATCAACTACAAAAATCTCCCATTTGTGCCTGCTTAATGTTTTTAGAAACTTCACGTTCAAAAGCAAGCAAATGAGCATTTGTTCACTTTGCATGAACAAAACGGCAAGATTCTCTGTTGGTAATATATTTGCATTGGGATGGGTTCTTAAAGGTGCTGTATGTAGAATTGACACCGAGTGGTTTAACTAGGTATTGCAGTCCACATTCAAAATATTGGAGAGGGTTTTTTTTCACCCGGCCCCTCCTCCTCAGACTTGACACACGCAGGTTGCCAGATTGACGACACCAACAGGAACGAGCGCACTGAAATACGCTGTTTTCCGCCAACTGGCAACCCGGGGTGCCGAAATACAATTGGGTAAACTGGCAGTGGGCGGGTTTCACAAACCAAAACAGAGACTGACATGCCGGCCCGGAACGCACATTTTCAAAGGATAATAACTGACTGTAGCATTGTTTTTCAGATAAACAAGTATGTTAACTTAGCATGTTTCTTAAATATCTGCAAACATATTATGGTATTTTTATGCTTTAGTAGAGTCAAAAACTTACATACAGCACCTTTAAACAAGCAACAAACAGAAAATAGGCCATCAGCACATGACCCAAATTTCACTCTTTATGCTGTGTTTTCTAAACCAGTCTGTGTTGGGTTAGCATTAAAAACACAAATTCTAAGTTCAAGAGTAAAGAGACTGTCTCAGAAGGTTTTAAACTGAGCTTCTGTCTGAAAGCGCTGTGTTGTGGACTCACCCTCATTGACCTCATTGTTCTTGGCCAATTGCTCCAGTTCCCAGCCAAGGTGAGCCGACTCATTCATGCTTTGCTTCTGAGAGATCTCCAGCAACATGTTCTCCTCCAGCAACTCCTCTAGACGTTGCTTATCACTGTCCCTGTCCTAAACCACATACAAAACAGGAAAAATCATATACTTAGTGCTGGAAAAAGAGTACTCATTCAGAGATTCAATGTGATGTTTTCTCAAATGATTCAGCTTCAAAACAATTTTTTGAAAAAGTTTGGTAATGTTGGAAGTCAATGTGAACAGGCTTTTTTTTTAAACAAACTAAAATAAGTCAACAATATGACATTACATAATGCATGTTTCCACCCACAGTTGACGGAACAATGGCATTCCTGTGGTCAATTCCAAAGAACCCTAAAGTATCAATTATCAAAGCTACATACCACATACGTTGGAAATGAATCAACTAGGTCTACAGTACGTTTTAATGCCCCTATAGTACAAAACAATAAGATGTATCAAGGATTGTTTCGTAATCACATTGTGAATCAAAACCAATTTAAATGGTAAGGTGCATAAAGATTAACTTTCTCAACACAGATGCATATATACACACCTCCAAAATAATTTCCCTTAACACTTACAATTTCCATATCATGCAATTTGGAGCGCAGCTGGAGGTTCTCTTTCTCTAGTTCGTGTAGTTTGTCACAGCGCCCCCTGGCCCCAGCAAGCTGCTCCTCCAGCATTGACTTTGTCTCCAGCAGAGTCATATTGTCCTCTCTTAGCTCCTGTGCACAAAAGAGAGACGAGAGAGAAAAATGAAGAGATAGACAAAAAGAAAAGATCAAAAGGGATAGAGAGGATGATGACAGCAGACTGAGAGAGTCAGGGGGCTGTCAGTGACAGCTCAGGGCCTCAGCGGACACCTGAGGCTTTATATCTGAGAAATAAAAGCAGCAGGAGCCCTCAGCATGCATCAGTCACCTCATAAAGAAACCAACCCTTCTGATTTTTTCCAGGTAATGTCAAAGATGTCCGGCTCTGTTTTTTATACAATGCTTAAGTCATTAAAATGGAAATGTGGTATAGGTTGGTGAGTCGTTACCTCTATGCGTGTCTTGTAGAAATGGACATCATTTAGCTTCTCTTTGAAGCGAGACAGTTCGGTTTCCAGGCGATCCACTTTTCCAGCACGTTCCCTCAGAGCATCCACCTCATCACGGTACGCCCGCACCGAACGTGCCTCTGCCAGTAACTGCATGTTCTACTCACACACAAACACAACAGATGATAGATTTCTGAAGCTCAGTAAAGTGTTTCCCAGTTTGAGTCAACCATGTGAAGTTAGGGCTGGACGATATGGCCAAAATTGATATCACGATATATATCTTAAAGGTCCCATGGCATGAAAATTTCACTTTATGAGGTTTTTTAACATTAATATGAGTTCCCCTAGCCTGCCTATGGTCCCTCAGTGGCTAGAAATGGTGATAGGTGTAAACCGAGCCCTGGGTATCCTGCTTTGCCTTTGAGAAAATGAAAGCTCAGATGGCCCAATCTGGAATCTTCCCTTTATGTCGTCATAGGGGGAAAGGTTACCTCCCCTTTCTCTGCTTTGCCCACCCAGAGAATTTGGCCAGCCCATGAGAAAATGAGCTACTACCGTGCGAGGCGAGCGCAATATTTTTTTTCCTCGAGAGACATCATGGCTTGCAAATGAGCGAAGCATGGCAGTTGCCCCGCCTCTCTCCTCCTCATTAGCATTTAAAGCTACGTGTGAATGTAAGAAAACAGAGTCTTGATGTGATACCTCCTGCTTGAGTTTCTGCATCTCTGCATCCAGGCGCTCAATCTCGTTCTTGGCATCAATCAACTGCTCGGTCTTCTCCTCCCTGTAGAGAGCAAAGACTTACAACACTGATAGGCTGCACTAGTGGACGACCAATATTTCAGCGAATATTTTTAAATTATCACGTCAGCTGATAAGTGTTTTTTTTTTTTCAGTCAATAAGAGTCAGAAGTGGGAATTTTATTTTGACAGCGCTGAGGCTGTCAGTGAAGGTAGCCGTCCCAATGAAGTTTGAAACCTGAATAAAAACAAGGTAAAACAAAAAGTAGTAACTGTAGAGAACACACTTACAACTCTTGGCGGGAGCGCCGGAGTTTGGCCTTTGCGTCAGCCAGCTCCACAGCTAAATGCTGTCGATCTTCTTTAGACAGTAGGGTGACGGGGGATAGAGATGTGTGCTCAGGGCTGGGAAAGCCCAAGAGACTGGAAGGCTGCTGGGACTGAAGATAGTCCCTCTCCTGGGTCAGCTCTATGATCAGCTAATGACACAAAACAGACCGGTCAGCATCCAATCAGTGATGATCAATGGCTTGAGGAAGTTTAGTACTACTTCCTAACAAATAGATGATTGCTGTTGCTGATCGGCAAACCTCAGCAGACTCATCTCGCTCGTCTACGAGTTTGCGTAGGTGAAAGGCCATGGTCCGAGACAGAGGGTCCAACTGCTCAGCAGGAATCTCCCCGACCTCCATCCACTGCAGATCCAGAACATTCTCCTGGTTGTGAGTTACCTGCAATCATGAGGGATTTTGCACCTCAAATATGAGTTCTATATATATGATATACTTAAGAAGTTATTGGCTGAAATCAGGGAAGCTCACTTCTTGAATGTGCGTCACGATGGCGGCTTGTGTTTCAATGTCAAGCAGCTTGATCTTCTCAATCATTTCTTCTTTACGATCACACTGTTGGGAGAAATAAAGAGAATGAGGAAAAGTGGAAGGGATGGAAAGAGAAGGGGAAAGGGATGAGGAGAGGATAGAAAAGGGAAAAAGAAAGGGGAAGAGGATGAGAAACAGGATGGAGAAGTGAAGGGATGAGAGTGGGAAGAGGATGGGGAAAGAACCAGAAAAGGAAGAGGAAGTATGGAAAAGAGAAGAGGAAGGGGAAGGCACGGGAAAAGGAAGAGGAAATAATTGAATGCGAGGAGGAAGAAAGAAGGGAAAGGGAAAGAGGAAAAAGAAGAGGAAGGGAAAGTATGGAAAAAGGGAAAGTTGAAGGAACAGAAAAGCTAAGAGGAAGAGGAAGGAACCGGAAAAGGAAGAGGAAAGCATTGAAAAGGGAGGATGAAGAAAGAAGGGAATAAGGAGAAAGAGGAGGAAGGGAAAGAATGGAAAAGGGGAAAGCAGAGAGGAAGAGGAAGGGGAAGGAACAAGAAAAGGATGATGAAATAATTGAAAAGGGAGGATTAAGAAAGAAGGGAAAGAGGAGAAAGAAGGGGAAGGGAAAGTATGGAAAAAGGAAAAGTTGAAGGGACAAAAAAGCAAACAGGAAGAGGAAGGAAAATTGAAAGGGAAGAGAAAGAGATAAGAAAAGGAAAGGGAAAGGAAATGGGAGGAGAATACACAGGGGAAATGAAAAAGGGAAGAGGAAGGAACCGGAAAGGGAAGGAGGATGAAGATGAGGAAAAGAAAGATAAGGATGGGAAAGGAAAAGGTGAAAGAACAAAAAAGAAGGGGGAGAGGAAATGGGAAATTGTAAGGGAAGAGGAAAGGCAAAGATTAATTGTAAAAGGAAAGGGAAGAGGAGGAGGAAAAATAAGCAGTTACAGTTTAAGACTACCACAGATGTTGTACAATCCATATCACATAAAGAAATAACTATTTTGTGTTTTTATGAAATCAACATTGCCCATGAATTCATTAGTATGCCTTAATGGTGATTAGTCAAATAAACTGCTGGTACAGATGAAAGAGTGGGAATTAAGTCAGAGATTGAGCCTCTCTTTGAATAAAAGAATGCTGGAGATACTTTCAAACGGGATAAAGACTTGTGAAGAGTTGTGTGCCTCGTGACTGGAATACTGTGAGAGGAAGTTATGGTGCAGGATTAGACCAGCTCAAAGAGACGCTGAACAGAAAGCAAATCAACAGGCAAATGTTACACTGTGAAGTTTAAGGCTGTTTATTATCCATTCACAGAACAGGAAAAAACAGCTAGAGATGGGGCTAAAAGTGTAAAAGAAATAGGCCTGTGCAGAACAGACACGTGAGGAATAATCCTCGGGAAAAGGAGGAGACATAAAAAACATCTTAGCAAATCTAACCCAATAATCTGTGTTGACTTCTCTGAGACATATCTGGATGAATGCTTTATTTTGTAGCATAATGAGTGTGTGTTCATTTTTCTCTGGAAAAGCAGAGGCATGCCCAGGCATGGATATGATTTCCTGCACTGGTGTTAAAATGTGGGTTGGGGATCTCTGCTAGTTCAATCAGTTTACCTGAACAGCACAGCCCAGTATCAGCAACAGCAGTCTCTTCACCTCCTCCATGCTTTTACCTGAGGGAATGAAATGGTTAGAAATCACAAGAACTGAAAGTATGATACTATAAATGAAAGAAATAAACATTAATTTTAGCTAAAAAAGAGGAAGCTGATACAAAAACTTTAGCAGACACCACTAGTTAAGACAGACATAGTGATTTTTTTTAAATTAAATAATCTGTTATGGTCCCACATTCCTAAATGACAACCCTGTTTACATATTAATTTCAGTGTTGCTATTGTTAGCTAAAAATAAAACTGTTCATGTTAACGGGAATAAAGCAAATTAAATATATGTTTTTTTAAAAATCAAAAATTTACTTAAACTTAAATGAAAATTACAAATGTTGTCTGGGCAACTAAAATATTTACATTTATATTTTATAATAAAGGTGTAAGTACTAAAATGACTAAAACTAAAGCTGAAATAAAAATTTAAACAAAATATAAATATTTAAAAAACAAAAACTAATAAAAATGACAAAGGCCAATACCAAAATTACAAAAAATTTAAAACTTAATGAGAACACAAAATATAAAAATAAAAGCTAAATTAAAATATTAATAAATATTATGATAGTATATAAACAATACTAAAACAACACTGATTGGTTTATTATTGAAACTTAGAAACCAGTGACTGGTACTCAAAATGTGGGCATCAATCCAACCCTTAATGCTTAATGATAATTTTACAGTTGTAACGATAATCTTATTAGTTATGGTATTTTGGAGGAAACTATGTTTACCATGGTATAAGAGAATTGTATAAAATAAGTCTTTTTTTCAGTCAAACCTCACAGCTAAAGGGTCAATGCCATCACTGTTTAAATATCGCTCTAGCAGTTCGAATATTAACAAAATATTCAATTTCACCTGAGCCATACACCTTGAAGAGAGGATGTAAGAAAGATATTCTCTTCTTTCTTCAACCATTAAATTAAACAAACATTCACATGCAGTCAGTGTATTCTTTATTATTCATTACAAAGCACACCAACTCTTTCACAATTACACAAACCCTTTGAGATGAAGTTATTTTTAATTACTTTTTTGAAGCTTGTGTCTGTGTGTTGGTGAGTTTGTTTACGTCTGGCAGTCTTAGACTAATAAATACTCTGGAGAGAATGGATTGGGTGTGGGGTGCCGTCGCCATAGCGATCATTTGTTGCTCAAAGCCCCCCCACCCTACAGCGTATCCCCTTTACACACACAGCAGAGGAGGAGCCGTGGGGAAAACACTCTATTGTCCATTACAAGTAGGACTGCACGATATTGGAAAAAACTCACATTGTGATTTTTTATTTTTCTGCGATATATATTGCTATATGAAAAAAAAAATCACTACATGACTTGAATAGTTTATTTTGAAAAAAAAAAATGATTGGGGTGATTTTGTAGGCGAGTAAATCAGCATAGGAAATAAACAAATTACAAGCATAGATAAATATAACAGAACAAAGATACAAATGAAATAAGCAGTGCTTTATATTTTTCAGGTAAGTCTAACAGTATTCAGGTACAGAAATTGAATAATCAAATGTAAAATAAAACTGCATAGTCTTCACTGTATAAATTAAATCTAAATAAATCTGTGTTAAAGCTACAAAAGTGATTTTTCTTTGTTTTGTTGTTTGATTAACATTCATAACACAGAAAGCCTCAAGAACATTAAACTGCTGTAAACCAATATACTGTTACACACTCCATTTTCTTTCTCAATTGTTTCCCTTCACCTAAGCCATAAGCAACTGCGTTTACAAGGATACTTGCAGAGCACAGTATTTCAGGCACAAATAGACGCAGAAGTGAACAGAAGTCAGTGTTCACGTGCATCAGCGTGGCTCTCACTGGGTCTACACCGGACGCGAGCGGCGCAGCGCGAC